GACCTGAAGATGATCACACGCCTCCTTCAAAGCCCTCCCCATCAGTGCCGATCAACAAAGCAATTCCAGAATGTCCCAACCCTCAGGGGTGTGGTGGGGCGGAGAGCTTGGGGGGGATGCAAACCCTTGGTAATGACCTTGGTGTGAACCTGTGTGTCCACAAGGCAGCCAGAGCAGGGAGGGGAAGGTGTCCACGTTTAGTTGATTTGTTGTTTTATCCAGAATGGTGATCTGTGAAGTCTGGAAGAAATTCTGAGTCGTCACAGAGAGTGTGGGTGCTCTGGGACTGCAGGCTGTCTGTTGCTGTCACTTTTGTTTTGTTTTGTTTTGAGACAGAGTCTCACTCTGTTGCCCAGGCTGGAGTGCAGTGGCACAATCTCTGCTCACTGCAACCTCTGCCTCCCAGGTTCAAGTGATTCTCCTGCCTCAGCCTTCCGCTAGCTGGGATTACAGGCGCGTGCCACCAAGCCCGGCTGATTTTGCATTTTTAGTAGAGACGGGGTTTCACCATGTTGGCCAGGCTGGTCACGAACTCCTGACCTCAGGTGATCCGCCTGCCTTGGCCTCCCAAAGTGTTGGCCTTATAGGCGTGAGCCACCACACCCAGCCCGGGCTGACCTGCACAGAAGTGCCACCTACCTACCCTCTGACTTCTGTCATGTGACCCAGGGCAGGAGATGCGACATCTCCACTTTCTAAGTACCCCACTGTCACGGGGCAGCTCCTCTCTCAGGTGCTGGGGTTCAGGTCCTCTCCTGGGTCTCAGCAGGTCGTGGCCTGCTCCGGGGCTACGCATACCGGTTTCAGTAAGTGCTTGGTAGCTCTGTCCCCCAGCACAGAGCAAGTGCTAGGTCGGGGTGCAGGGGACTCAGTATCTCTGGAGGAGGAGATGTCTCTTGCCCTCTCTCCACAGCTAGAGCTTTCACTACCTACAGAGCTACAGCCAACTCCTGAACCAGCTCAGAAGGTAGAGCCAGCTCCAGCTACAACTCTGGTGCTAGTTCCAGGATCAGAGCCAGCTCCAGCAGCACACCCAGAGATAGGGGCAGCTCTAGCCATCTCTGTGCCGGCTCCAGTACAGCTCCAGCATCCGCCCTCCAGCCAGGAACAGCTTCAAAACCATTTGCATGGCCTCAAGCCAGTGACAGGTCCAGAGGCAGGGCCAGCTGCAGCACCACCTCCAGAGCCAGAGCTGGCACCAGACATAAAGCGATGGCTGATTCCACAACCAGAACCAGAATTAGAGGCCCCTCCAGAGCTACAGCCATCTCAGACCTGCACCAGCTCCTGCACCAGCTTCAGCACGACAGCCACAGTTCCTGCCAGCTCTAGAGCGAAATCCAATCAAGAACCAGCTGTAGCACCATATCCAGAGCTAGGACCAGCTCTGACACTCTTCCCAGGGCAAAGACTAGCAACAGCAACACAGCTAGAGGCAGTTCCAGAACGTCAGTCCCCGGGGCAGAGCCAGTTTGTCTCCAACACCCATGTCAGTGCTAGGACAGAGCCTGCACCATCTCTGGAGTCGGAGCCTGCTCTGGTGTCAGCTCCAGCCCCAACACCAGGTGGGGCCACACAGGGAGGCGCATCAGACCACACAGCTGCAGCCCAGTTGCAAAGTGTCCTGGGGTCCTGGACTGGGGCGTTTCTTAGGAGCCCTGAGGTGTTTTCTGGCTTTGCAAAGGCAATGAAAATTTGAGTTGAATTTATCAACAGCTCCTGCCCCCTCTAAGCCAGCACCCGAGCTGCAGCCAGCTCTTATGCCAGGTCCTGCACCCCGGCCTTCCTGGCCTTTGCCTGTGGCTGCAGAGAGCAGGCTGAGCAAGAAGACTCATCTTCTGGTGTCCCCTCCAGGCTTAAGGCCAGAGCGGTCGCGCTGAGCAATGCAGAGGCTGCCCAGCCCCAGGACAGCAGCGCGGCTTTCCTCCCGGCCCCTGCGGCTCTGGCCTGTCATCCCCTGCTCTGGAGTTCGCGTCCTGGTCCGAGTCCCGGCACCACCGTTCGCAGCCCGGCGACCGCGGCGAGTCGCTTGGTCGCGAGGCCTCGGTGTCCCGCCCTGCGCGGTGACCGAGGTCCCAGGACACAGCGCAGACAGGGCGCTAGGCAGGCCTACTCACCCTTCCACCTCCGTTACGTGACCAGGGGCAGGGGCGTGACACCTCCACCTTCCCACTCCCACACCCACTGCCCACTTCACCGCCCACTTCATTTGGACTTCGTGTAGCGGCTGAGAGCCCCTACGTTTTCTCCAGGAATGTCTTCCAGCCTCAGGGCCAGCTTCGTCCAGGCCTTGACCTGAAGATGATCACACGCCTCCTTCAAAGCCCTCCCCATCAGTGCCGATCAACAAAGCAATTCCAGAATGTCCCAACCCTCAGGGGTGTGGT